AAACCTCTGCTTGGAGAGTACTTTACACGACTTTTCTCACTTTGCTCAGGTGAAAATGAGTATTGTATTGTCCCCTGTGTTGGTGGCGGCATTAATATATTGCAAACATGAGTGTGACGTCACCACGTCTTGTGATTAGATGTTGAAATATAAATCGGGCCATACCATCGCCGTGAGAGCGCCGAGGACGGCGATGCAACTATTAGCGTGAGATCGCCGTGAAAGCGTGAAGCGAGCGCCTAGAGAGTGCGCAATGGCCCCAATATGATAGATATAGATATGTATACAAAACATGGCGACTTCGGCACTCTCACGGCGCTCTTTCCGCCCTCCAATTTCAGGTCGCAGAGAGAGCACAGAGAGCACGCAGAGAAGCGCAGTGATAGCGTCCTAGTGAAATGCGGGCCTTTTACCCTTGATTTAATAATGCAAATATGATGCAGGATTATTAAATCACTTTCAAAGAGAGAAAACGTACAGAATTTCGTTCTCTATTTCCGTAATTCGTTGAGTGAGCTATGAAATCATTGATCGCCAAAAAACCCGGTGCTGACATTTGGGTTTTTGGTCGTGCAGAGAGCGCAGAGTGGTCGCCGTAGAGATTCCACTTGAGCACGTTTTTCGTGGAGTTCGGCGCTCTCTCCGCGCTCTGGCCAATTTTAGGTCGCAGAGAGAGTGCCATGAGAGCGCCACTAAGTGGAATGGGGGCCTTACCCATTTCCGAAAGGGCGTTGACTGATAATTATAAAAATAATGAGAGACTTGAGCTTATAAAGAATGCATTACAGTTCATCATCATATCCAAATTAAAAAAACAAAACAAAATTCTAATTATTCCTTATTTTCGGGTAAGGTTGACAACTTACTAAAGATCGTAGTTATTCTATAACAACGAAGTAATATCCATAACAATTATAATAAAAATTGTATAGTAATGTATATTAATAAGAAAAATATTTAGCACTACTTACAGTTGTCCCCAGTCCCTGCTCGAAGCCGATCTTACTGACAAGTCTGAAATTTGTCCTATGCTACATGAGCTCCACGGCGTTCTCACGGCGATGATATGACGCGGTTTATATTTCAATATCTAATCACACGACGTCGTGACGTCACACTGAAGTTTTTTTCAACTTATATCAATGCCGTTACCAACACAGGGGACAATGCAATACTCATTTTCACCTGAGCGACGTGGGGAAAGTCGTGTAAAGTGCCTTTCCAAATGACACAAGATCGGTAGCATGTCAGGACTCGAACCGGGGACGTCTTGATTCCGAGTCGAGCACTCTTATGCTACGCCACACGACCCCACAATTGCGCGACACATCATGGTCCCATCATGCTCCCATCATGCTTCCATCGCGCTCCCATCGCACTCCCATCACGTTCCCATTGCGCTCCCATCATGGTCCCATCGCGCTCCCATCGTACTCCCATCGTGCTCTCATCGCGACCTTGACGCTCTCTCCGCGCTCTGGCCAATTCCAGGTGACAGAGAGAGTGCAGTGAGAGCGCCGTCTAAGTGGAATGTGGGTATCAGAGAGGGGATAAAAGCATGGGCAAGAAATTACCTACAACTGGAGTTGGAGTGATTTGGGTAGCTTTTGGTGGCTTGAACACTGCCAAGTGATTGTAAAAATGATTGGTGACGCATATATTTGTATTTAAACCAGATAAAAGTCAGTTGTTGCCGAGAAGAAGAGCAATATTACCCCAATAGGTTAGTGGTAAAAAATGACGAAAGGGTTTAATGATCAAAGTTTGATTTTCTCATTTCTTTTACAATTTGCGCTTAAACAATATCAGATACTATTAACAAGTATAAAGCTGTAGCTGTACGTGTAAGAAGAATAGCCAAAAAGGTTCTACCGGATATTCTTCACTGCATTACCTTCCTACCGACACGGTTGGCAGTAGTACGCCAAAATCACTACTGATTTACCCCCAGTACTACTAGTACTGATTTATATTACTCTCAGTACTTCCCCTTCAAAAAATTCCTTCTAATTTGTTCCCAACCAAGAGAACTAATTAATTTTGATAATAAAACGTGTGCCAACCACCCTCTACCTTCACCCACCCGTCACGCACACCAAAACACAGCTGTACTGAAGAGTGCTGAAGCCGTGCTTAAGGTAATGTGGACTCCAAGCTGATCTCCAAGAGAGGGTCGCTAGACTTGTTGCACAGCCTCTAAGGCAAACGGGAAATAAACAGTTGTGCTCCTTTATAAAGATAAGCGACGAAGCGCATTTCCGTCTCGTAATACGGTCGTTGCCATTTGAAACGTTTGTTCCCAGATCTCTGACTGATCGACGCAAAACATTTACAACAAATATGTGCAACATTTCAGGGGGAGGGGGGTAGCTATAGGCCGCGACAACTTTCATCTAAGATAACGCATTAGTGACCTGAGCTAGAAAGACCAAACTTTAAAAAAATCTATTTGGCAACATCTATTTGTAACGTTGTGACTAAAGCTAAATTTTCGTGTTTTTACGGGCATTTTGTTTTGGCAAAATTTAGTATTTTCGGTAACGAAGGGGGTGCCGCTGGATAAAATTACACATGCCGCTGCATAAAATAGCATAAATGGCAACTTTTGTCATTTTACGCAATCTTTATAATGAAGAAATCATAATATATGTTATCGTATAGGGATCGTACTTTGTAAGTACGTACAACCCACTTACCACTTACGCAACGACGACATGCTGTTCAGTCAAAAGTTTGCAAAGGTTTTTTTTTTCTTTTTACATTTAAACTCCTGCTTCGTAACGTAATTTTCAGCAGTACTTACTGAGCCCCGTCAGGACAAAGGCGCCGGCCACCATGATGACAGTCTGAGCAGTGTCGGTCCAGATCACAGCGGACAGACCGCCTGAAATCGTTATCAATATCAGTTGTACATCGCCTTGCATTGAAATTTGATCACATTACTTCTAAAAGTATAATACATGTATATGACACATACAAGGAACGGACAACTACAACGGTAATACTTGCCACCTAGTATATAACTTTCAGACATAAAAGACATCATAATATATGTTGACAACAATGTAAAAGCTCAAATTTTGCATAATGTACTCAGCACGCCATAGGAACTACCTGTGACGGTGTAGACAGCTGTGATGGCCAGTAGCAGCACCACTGCCAGGTACAGGTCCCACTTCAGAGACTGTTGGATGAACACAGCACCGGCAAAGATGTCCGCCTACAGAACAAACACAAAGTACAAACATAGTTATTACATAGTTGTTAGACAGAGACAGAGAGACATACAAAAACAATACCATTTTTCATCATTTTCACCATTTTTCATGGAGGTAAACATTACCCTAGCTCTATTAAATTACCCTCAATTCCAAATCATCTGCAGATGGAGAGAGAGAGAGAGTGGAGAGAGACATATACATACAAAACAAACCTACCATTTTTTATGGAGGTAAACATTACCCTCGCCCTATTAAATTACCCCCAATTCCAAATCATCTGCAGATATAGTAAAATGGGCTGGAACGCAACGATAACGGATTTGGGAGGTATTAGCCTAGATGGCACACCGTGCGGTTATCCATCAAGCTATCGGGATTACGCAACTGTCGCGAGCTTGTTGAGGTTTTGATTGATAAGGCCACAGCAAGTAATTTTTATGGATGACATCAATCAGCGCGCATTAATTTTCGCCTGATTTTGAAAAAAATGTTGCTGCTTTCTGACCAACATGTCGTAAATGGGCAAAGATGTCTGTTGTCATGCCGAAGGTGGATGGCAGATAACTATGAAGAGAGGAGTCAAGAAAAAGCTCTGATGTAATGTTTTGTTTCTTATTTTGATGCAGCGGCATGTGATGCTGGTTGTGTATTTGTGATGTTCCCACTGAATCAAAACCATTTGAGTCAAAATTCTAAAATGTAGGAACTTAGGTTTTTCGGCCCGCCTTGTTTTTTTCGCCCGATCGCATTAGATTTGGAGTCTGCCGAGGATGTCATCCATAAAATTTACTTGCTGTAGCCTTTACGACGCAAACTGTCGCGAACTTGTTGAGGTTTTGATTGATCAGACTGGAGGTGAATAAAATACGAAAACTGTCGCGAACTTGTTGAGGTTTTGATTGATCAGACTGGAGGTGAATAAAATACGACCTTCTGTCGACACTCATAACCGCATGAGTTGACCAGGGCGGTGGGCTGAGTTGACCAGATTTGCGATAAGCCGAGTTGGTAATGGTCCGAGTCGTCCTGATTCCGTTTTAAAAGGGGGAGGTTTAAAAGGGGAGGTCAAAGAGAGGTTAGGAAGGGGAGGTTAAAAAGTAGGGGTTAAAAGAGCAGAAAAGACGACATAATTCTTAACCTCAATTATGGTGAAGAACAGAAACCTTTACGGATGCTTCGTAAAGATCAAATTTCATCCAGTGAGTAAGTCCTAGTTGCCATTGCAGTAAGTCGTAGGAAAATTTTATGGCGTGTTCAAAGCACCCCTACAGTGAGAATTAGAGGGGCAGTTACCTCGTATCTTTACGTGATAAGGGAGGCTTTCCGTTTAATGTTCCCTCAACCGGCAGGTGGCTTGAAGAGAACGCATTCCCGGATAGCCGTATTACGTTACACAGTATTTGTTATTACCTTCGCCAAGAAGGTTATGTTTTCGGGGCGTTCGTGTGTCTGGGTGGGTGTGTTTGTGTGTTTGTGAACACGATAACGTGAGAAGACATTGATGTATTGTCTTGATATTTGGTAGGTGGGTAGGTCGTGATGAGACCTCGAAATGATTAGATTTTGGGTCACCTGGCGGTTTGTCATGGTACTGCAGCAGAACTTCCGGTTTTGATATCCCATTTGCCGGACATGCTCGGGGCACGAAATTTAGGTGCTAGGTAGCTCATGGGCTGGGAATGAAGTGACATGACTTTGACCCCGTGTTTGCGTATGTGTGACCCCGAAAAGACCATATAGCCATATCCACATAGCCATATCCACGATAGACTGGATACGATGATGGACAGGCCTCAGCCAACTTTGACGAACGGTTTTGCTGACAATTCCAGCCGAGAAAGACTGATGTCTCTAGTCACCCTCGAATGGTATATACTACAGTATATACATGTAGATGTCAACAAGGTTGGCACCACGTTTTTACAATTGATTAACACAAAACGTAGTACGTAGGTGCACTATTTTACTATGCAAGTAGCATGGAATGCATTTTCTTGAAATATTACCAAGATATCATATTATCTATATATATATATCAAAAAGATAATTACGGGCCAGTAACATATGCGTTCAAAACGTATAGGACCTTATAGTATCGTAGGTTACTGCAACAAGAATGAACCTATGATACAACACTAATTATAATGCCCACACACCTCCGTGCACATGTATTCAAACTAATAAGCAACATGATGCACATGCAACATTCAATTTCAAGAATCCAAGTCCTACTAACAAATGTACCATTCCCGCCTATACTCTACCCGTACGCAGCTCCCTGTCATTTATAAGTAATCATATAAGCTTGTCACTGATTAATACGAACAGACCCCAACCTAGTAGCCTGGTATCCAGTCTTACGTGATTGGGGGTGCTGGGGTGTTCAGGTAGGTTGTGCCTTCAGGGGCTCTAATAGCTTCCCCCGCCCATGGAGTGCAGTGCAACAGGCCGACCCGGTAGGAGTGTTACTCTAATAACGAATGGTATGCTTGGGGATTTGGTTTGCTCCAACACGATATGTATGACGTTCGTGGTAGGGCTAATCAATCTCTCATCGTAAATTACACACCGGGAAACCTAGCTGAGGCGGGCGGGACAGAGCCTCTACAGCCCCGAGAAAAACCCGACCCTACCACGTAAGACTAGATACCAGGCTACCACCCTGGTAATAATAGAGCATGGTAATAATAGAGCTATCGATATCAACCCAAAGACATTGACCATGTAGGTAAATTATTATTTACTGAAGGTAAACATTATGCATTTGCTTTGCAAATGTTACCTTTCTAGTATTTATTTGAGTCATCTGACCCAATGAACTTTAATCTATTAATTCATTAAAGTCTTCCAAAATATTATTTACTCTTCTTCCCAATCATGTAGTTACACAACTTGAATGCAGGATGAAAACCATATTGAAATGGTTTATCGTGCTTATGCTGTTGATGCTCGTCGGAAATGCAGTGTATTATTTGCAGGCAAGTAAAACAAAGTTTACCCATGTAATATACGCACCACAATGTTTTTGGGATAACTTTTATTTGATTAAATTTTGATTAACATTCATCCGATTAAATTTTAATCCTGGGTAATTCATTGTAAACTAGATGCTGAAATTTTAAGCCTCATGTTTTTGTATGCAACATAATAATGGCCACTTTGTTACTATGTGTCTGTCAACAGAGTAACTTGTTTCAGAGAAGCAGCCCTCTTTCAACACTTGGACAAAAACCAGGTATGTTCAAAGGAAAAAGACCTGTATTTGCACCCAGCTGTGACCAATGCACCTGCCTCAAGCCAAGTCAACAATTTGTCTTCATCAAAACACACAAAACAGGTAGTATGACCACCGTAAACATTTTCCAAAGATATGCCATCAACCACAACCTCACGTCGTTGATAGCTAGAGCGAGGAGTTACGTCTCTTGGCCGTTCCCTCCAGCCGAAGCAGACTATGTGCACACTACAGGGGAACATTACGACGCCTTGTTTGGTCATATGGTGTACAACAAAACATGGCTGCAGTCCAAGTTCCCCTCCAACACAGCCTATATCTGTAAGTATCATTTTGCTCTGGTCAGACACTAAACCAAATTTACTACATAAGTGACTGCCATTTGCATCTGGACGATTTTGACAATTTCATTTATTGCCACATCCCCAAGTGTAATTATTTTACAATATGGAGAATGTCTACAAGAGTAATAAATCTTTAATCTCCTTCTTGTAAAACAAATGAGATAGAATGAATGTGATTTTATTGAATGAATATGGTTTTATGAAATGTTTACCATCAATTAGTACAAACATACATAAACGTTTTTTTAAACGTTTGTACATTTCTATATTTCTAAACAGTTCAAGGGAACTGTATTTACGATGCGATCCAAACTGTACGGAGTGCGATAGTTGTCATTTATATATAAGTGATATGTGCAAATATGTTATACACAGTTGTCGTTTGAGACTGCATTTTGCAGCGACACCTGTGTTTTACAATATGAACCAGTCAGAATTGCCCTTTGCAAGATTATAGACAACGAAACGTCATCTGAATAAATAAAAGAGTCTATTTATTCGGTGACTTGCAACTGTATAAAACAATTGAATAATCTTTTTTTTTCTATTTTTTTTCTTTTTCCCGTTTTCTCGCCCTACATAAAGCACTCATTCGAGAACCCTTCAGTCATCTGAAGTCGTGCATGAGCTTCTATAGTATTCCCAAGCTACTGAACATCACATCTACAAATCCCATCAAGACCTTTCTGCGAGATCCGTGGAAGTACCAAAACCTGTCTGAGGCCTTCTTCAGCTTCTGTAATGTGACCTGGGACGGCACCAGAAACCATCTGGCCTTTGACTTAGGCTACCCTACTGAAGGAGCGGATGATATGGTACAAAATCATGTTCATCTCCGAGAATATTTGTTATATAGTCGCATGCTTTCCTACCAGCTCATCTAGACTTCTTGCTTGGATTACGCATTCTATGAGAACTTTCAGAAGCAAATTGTTATCAATTAACATTATAGCAATTCAGAGAATCAGGAAGTTTTGATTACCACGAGGTAAATAATTATTCGACTCACGAGTGTTTCTCCTTTTGTCTCCACGTCTTTGAATTCACACCAGGAGGCAGCTGAAGCATACATTAAAGAATTAGATGAAGACTTCACACTCGTTCTGCTGCTAGAACACCTTGACGAGTCTTTAGTTCTCCTAAGACGCCTCATGCGCTGGGAAATACAAGACGTCCTGTACGACATCATACCGAAGAACGTCCGGAATTACACCTACAAATCCTACACCCCTACCGCAGAGGAGCTGGCCAACCTCCGGAAGTGGAAGGCTGTGGATTACCGTCTGTACGACATGTTTAACAGGTCATTGTGGCGGAAAATTGAGGCAGAGGTAAGATCACGCAAATATATTTTCTTCGTCGTTGGACCAAAAGAAAGTATGTCTTAAAAGTTTGGCAACAATGTATGTTTTTTTACCTGTAAAGTATATATAGTATAGTAGCAGTAAAACTTTGCTTCCATGTCAACACTTATGCTGTAGTTTTTTTTTTTTTCAAAAAATGCCACTTAAACGTTTTTGTATCTGAATAGACTTGATGAATTAAGGTTTGTCGGGGTGAAGTAAAGACTTGTGATTTGAACTGAAGGTGTATGTGTTTGGTCTTTAAAGGTTCGTTCCCCTCAAAAACATAAGTAGGCATGATGTTTCCAAATATTGTAAAAAAAAATTTCCTAGGCCCTCCCCCCAGGTCAAAAAAATTTTTCCTAGGCCCTCCCCCCAGCTCAAAAAATTTTTCCTATGCCCTCCCTCCTGCCAACAAGAATTCCAAGTACAAAAGAGAACTGATCATCATATTGTTGATTGTATGAGAAAGTCAGCAGACTTCTGTCCTGAGTTATAACCATAACGATTAGTCAAGTCATTTCTAATCTTTCTCATAAAAAAATGGTGTCCCCTCAGGGTCCTGATTTCTACCAGGAGCTCCAGTACTACAGAGAACTAAAAACGAACGTCAGCTTCTACTGTCATGTACGGCCGAAAAGGAAGTCCAACCTCACATTTACTGTGAAACCCTCCCAGTGGAGCCCAGAGTTTGTCCTTGATGCCGACTATTGTTGGGAAATGGCAGCACGGGTACGTACAGAATGCCATAACAAATATGATTTTAAATGTAATACAATCGGAAAAGAAATTCATCAGGTTGGGTTAGGATTGTCCATCGATACATGACTAAAATATGACTAAAATGTGCTTAAATTCAGAGTAAATGTCCAACAGATTACCTCATTTTTAATATTTTTGATACTCTAGAATTACATTGACTGTATGTGTGTGTATGTCTTTATTTTTAGTGGTGGTCTTTTCGAAATCATGTCACTGCAACAATAGTCAACTGTTATAGAATAAATCAACTCAAAATTTTCTCCTTTTTTAAATAAACCAGGAAGCATCACTCATGAAGAAAATACGGCAGAGGGCAGCACTGAAAGAGGAGAGACAGTGGGCAATTGTCCTGCCAATTGAACATGTGTTGTCAATTATCAAGGGGCAGCCAACTTTCAAATACAAGGTTGAACAAATAAAATATAAAAAGGAATTGGATAAGAAAAACAAACAGCAGATAAGACAAGAGCAGAACTTTACTGTAAGGTAGTACACGGAGCTGGACAAACCTAACTTTAAAAAAAAATTCCACGATACATGTATATTTTTCGCCAATTATGTTAACCATTACGAATGACCATTGCAGAAATATTATTTAATCATAATCATAGTCTCCAACAACAATCTTAAAACAAATATGGTTATTCCAGCAAAAAGGTCCGAATTTGCTTAGTTATGTCTTACTTAGTATATAATACTCAAGTTAAAGCATATGTTCACCTTGACTTATAACTTCCAAGTATGGTAGGTATATTACAGCGGTAACCCCTATTAAATTGTAGTATTCTCTCATTATTCATGCAAATTATGCACCTAATTAATACCTGTGTATTTTGTAAAGTTTGCTCTTAAATGGATATCGAATGTTTAAGTTGTTATATCTTGGAACCTAGCAGACTTATACAATTTTAATACAAAAAGATAGATTACATCCAAGTACTATCCTTTTGTTTCCCTAGTACATGTTTTAGTTTCTTACAAAATTGACTTGTAAGAAAAAAGTCGAATTACTACAAAAAAATTGACGTAAAAACAAAATTATAGAAAAGACAATCCTGACGTTGGCAAGAAAGAGAACTTTACCTAATATTATACTTATTTTTCATATTACTTCCATGCTAAAACAATTGCAGGGTAGACGAAATCAATATAACTCAAGGTAAAGAATATTAATGTAAAATAAGTTATAATTCTTTTATTGAAACTGTGTAAAGTTGAATGTCATTTTATTGATTGTAAAGCATGTGTAGGATGAAAATTGTGTAAGTCTAGTGGCGTAGATGCCCAATGTCAATTTTATATGATTGTGAAGTCTGTGTATTGTTTCGTCTTGTGTTGTTGGAATCCAGGAAGATTAGTCGCACAAAAATTTGTGCGACTAATAGAATTCCTAATAAATTATCAAGTATCTGTGGCTGAGATTGTCTTGAAAGATTTACGTTTTTTTTTTTAGTAGTTCGACTCCTTTTTTCATGTCAATGTTATACTTCTTCACAACTAAACCCATCTGAACAGCCACCCCTACCATTACATCTCAAGCTGGAAATACGTGAGTCGGTGTGCATATTGCAATCAGGAAGGTATATACATATGTCCTACATGTCCTTTCCCTCTGATCAGATGTAATTCATTTCAATTCTTTATTATTATACCAACATTGCAGACATACAGTATATACATTGTAGAACTAATATTATAATAGTGTTGCCATGGCATCACATTGTTATGTACAATTAATAGATTAAAAAAAACACATAACATTACATTGTATTACACACACACACACACAAACACACACACACACACACATATATAAATATATCACAGGGGAGATTGGAATCCAGGGGGATCCGGAATCCTCCTAGGGGAGATTGGAATCCTTATTTCCCCTAGGGGAGATTGGAATCCCTATCTCCCCTAGGAGAATCTGGAATCCTCCTAGGGGAGATAGGGATTCTAATCTCCCCTAGGGGAGACTGAAATCCTCCTAGGAGATATTGGAATCCTGTTATTCAGATTGAAATTCAGTAGTAGAAATACTAGAACTCATAGATTGAATCATTTCACACCTAAACTTTAAATCAATTTCAGCATAGGTAAGTGAATATGTAAGTCAGACTCAGATATTTTCATCAGGCCATTGTGAGATAGTGACTCAAGAACCAGTTTTTCCAGTTTGTTAGTGACTTGGTATATAAGGGATTGTTATGCCAGGACAAATCTTGATTCCAATCTAGTAATTCACCTATAATTATAGTAATAGGCTGGCCTATGCTGAAATTGGTGATGTAGGAACAAGTTGTTTTGTTCTAGCTGGGGGATGGAGAAGGTGAGAGCATTAGCTTTAGAGACAGGGACAAGGTCATGTGGGAGGTGGTCTTTCTGGAGTATCTGTTTGAAGATTTGCAGGGTGGGTAGTTCGGGCACGTCGACCCGCGTCAGGCCTGCCCGTTCGGCTGATGATACGTAGTTCTCGCCGTTGGACCCACTCCATTGCACGCTCCTGTTTCTAGCTACATCCAACAAGGAGGCCATGTCCGTACTCGAGTACAGAATGCACAAGTGAGTCGGGTATACCGAGACCTAGTCTGCAACACTGGTCACTTGTTTTGAAAGTAGCCACAGATAGTGGAGTCTACGGGAGGGTTTTGTGACCATCGAAGTGACTTGTTCTTGGAGAGTTAAGTTCTTATCAAGGATAAAAGCCAAGGCCTTTTGAAGAGTCAACCTAGGGTGCGCGTGATCCCGCGATGGTTAGCCTTGGCGGGCTGGGAACAGATCTGCAGACAGATCTGTACCATTTAGCTCTTCCTCCAATTTTAGCAGTCATTTTGTAGGTGAATCAAGGTGAGATGTTTTCATCCTTGAGTGTGTTGTCTTCATTTGCTTGCCGTATAAAATAGTTCTGCACATGGCGTCTGCATATCCCGCGTTCATGGTCCCAGGATGAACTGTTGTTCTCGATGCCATGAGGAGCAGGAACGGTATGGGGATAGCACACCGCCTTGTAGGACACCTGATGTTGGCTCCTTCCGGGAGCTGGCCACCCACCCCACTTACCATGTGTGACGTAGCCTAAATATCGATCACGTTCTGTAGCAGAAGGTAGAAGGCTTTCGACATATCCATACTAGTTTCCTCAGCACAATCGTACATGTATCTCAAGCTCTTACTAAGGGTGTAAAAACAACTTCCTTTGAAACTAGACTATTGATTTCTTTTTTTTTTATATACAATCTAATTCGTAGAACCAAAATTCTTAAATTTATTTCATAAGACACAATGATTTGCTAATATTTAAGGCTTGAAATTGAAAGAGTTCTTCACATAATTCATCTGTCGAGAGACGGTGCTTAAGCCCCTCAGCGTGCAAGGGAATCAAATTCTCATTAGGAATCACATCTGCATTTTTAATTGTGTGTATCAAATCCTGTTATGTTTACAAGCATTCCTACCACCAAACGAGAGAATTTTTTTACTGTCCACAGCTGGGTCGTTAAAAACTCTTTCGAGTCTTTACATTTTATCTAATTAGTATCTGTGATGTCTAGTGACCATATTTGTAGCTAACTATTTTCATAGAAACAGAAGCATTTTGGAGATGAAACATCGCTATGGCTATATATATTTTTTAATTTGCAAAGTTAAAAAAATGTGAAAGTAAGGCGTGATGCCAGACATTCTAGTGAACCCTCGAGTGGCAAATTACAAGTCTTAATTTTTGTTTGTATGTTTGTTTGTTGAAAAGAAATCCGGTATATTACAGTAGAAATGTAGAACATATCAGTCACTGTGATTGTTCTTCGCCTTCAGGAATGCTCACCAAATGTTTGTCTTTTGCCTTATTTTCCTCAACATCGACAAAAGTTGTCATGGGTATATCTTCTGTAGCTGCACTACTTCCAGTAGCTGCTATGCCTGATGTGCACGGGGCAGTCTGCTGACTGCCGGCAGTTGGTCCATTGTTCTGATTAGGTTCACCCAGACCAAGGCGTGCCCTGATCACAGAGGCCCAACTCTGTAACACCTCTCCCGTCATCGTCATCAGTAGTGCCAGAAGAAAGCCTTGAGAAGCATTAAGTACAATAAAGAAGTACTCAAGGACCCTACTGCCTGCAAAAGGCACGATAAAACCGAGAATCCATGTAAATCCCATCAGAAAGGAGATGCGGAAATAAACCCAGGCCTTACTGCTCCAAGAGCGAGACAAAGCTGCGTCGGCAATCTTAAATGACTTCCGTATGGCCAGCAAAGCCAAAGTGATCAACACGACATTGATCAGAATGGCAGAGAAAACTGGAACACCAAAAGCAACCAAACTGCCAGTCGGGTTGCCTATCCAACAGTGAACTCCGTACTCCACCCTGACTGAGCTGCAGGGACAGAACTCTACAAACACCGTCACCGCCACTACAAGCAACGGCATCAGCCAGGTATACAACACGTAGCTGCGCAGTTTGGGTCTTTCTGAACCATCACGAAATGTGAAGAAGAGATCCAAAGCCAGCGCGTTCATAGACGTAAAGGCAGTCAGCAGAAAGTAGTGCAGGATTATCCCATACACCACACAGACTACCCCGGGTGGAGGGAGCACACGTGCTACAAAAAGGGATTCCCCGACTGCCATACAAGCCAACATTTGCACCTTCAGCTTTGCCGGTACTTTCTTCCACTGGCCAAATTTGATAGTGTAGCCTATGAAAGCAAAGGCCGCTATGACAGCACAATCACAAGACCCAAGGTTAACCAACCTTGAGTCGCTTCCCAACTGTTTGTCGTTTGATCATTGTTTGTGGCATTCAGGAAATACTGCAGTATGCACTCTCCGCAAACCAACGCTGTGGTATTCAGAATGGCTACCTGTTCAACAGGGCAAGTCACGTTAGAACTCAACAGGTGTACACTTCCATTGGAAAGAACATCAAACTCTTCCTCGGTGAAATTTAATGTTCCTTTGCTGCAGTTTGTTATGGTCTGTTCGCCTGGGCAAGATACGTTGGAATTCAACATGTCTACGGTATCATTCGGAAGATTTCCGAATTCTTCCACTGTAAAATTTAAGGTGGTGGTGTTGCAGCTTTGAAAAACGCTGCTTTTGTTTGATGATACATCAGCTACGCTAGTAGACAATAAAAGCCGACATGTGTCAACAAAAGGATCGTATACAGTATCTGGTGGGCATTGCTTAGGACTGTTCTCTTTAGCATTAAAATTAAACAAATGGGTTAGTGAGATACAATTTGGAAAACATTGATTTTTGTTTGCTCCAGTGAAACAATGTAAATGTGTAGTGGCTTCGAGGGATAGCCCATCGCAAAGAGCACAGTGTATGTTTTTGTAAAGCTGTCCTGAGGACTTCAATGGAGAAGTGTAAGATTTGCATTGAATTGCATCGCAGTATCCTTCATACATGCTATCTTCATAAGGAATACATGGTCTTGGTGGGTTTAGGAGTTTAGGTTCTTCCAAGAATTCCAACACTTGAGACCCAGCACAATGTAAGCTAGGATTATTGGTGACATTGTGTATCTGTGTATTTTTCAGTTCAGGAGTAGACGAGTTGATCAACCCATAACACTCTAGTGTAGATATCCAAACCACTGCGTATGCCAGAGAGACATTATTGCAAACCGCACAAAAAATATTTCTGTAAGAAACATTTGTTGAACTATCTCGCAAGGGCATTCGGTATACTAGATTACTCGGGTTAAAGGGATCCACCTCTTTTAAATATTCTTCTTTGGTGACGTCATCCACCCAGTCGTCTGGACAGTCAGCAACCAACCAATAGGATGCCTTTGGAAAGAATCCCGACAGACACTTCCATTTTTCTTGACGATGATTGGATGTCACGCTTTGGCACTCTTCCCTGTGGTGATAAGATAAAAAAACTATATATCTTTGTGTCTATTTTTGCATGTGTTTTCTCTAGGTCTTCCTTCAAAATGTCTTGAATATTTTACTTATGTCTTAAAATACTGAAAATTTTCCAGGAGCGGCATTTTTGTACTTCATTTCAATTACAATACATCAATACACTGCTAGTGAAGTACCTATGCGTTGCGATTATAGTTGTGCATGAAAAGTCATAAAAATGAAAATGACGATGATTAGATAACTCGCTTTGGCACTCTTCCCGGTTACGATAAAAGGAAACTTGTTTATGAAAAGTTAATAAAAATATGTCTATTGTTTAGGATATATATAGGAAATCCGTCATTTAAAAGACAATGCTCGCTTACTTGAAGTCTGCACAACAGTCACCAAAAAAGCTGCAGTCCTCGTCACACTGGCAGTGCAGGTCTTCTGTAAGCTGGTCGTCTGTAAGCTGCGATCCGCATTTTCCCTTACAGGAAAGACCTTGTACGCAACTTTCCTTGACTGTCGGATCTATCACATATTTGTAACATAATAAAAAAGGGGCTGCTTAGTAAGGGCACACTAGGGACTCTTCAAAACAAATGTAATACTATAAAATCAACTAATGAATAAGCAGACCTTAGTCAAGCTTTAACTACCGTGGTGTTTACATGGAAGGAAACCTAGCTGAGACACTGACCAAGACAAGTTTACTTTTTTCAATAAGCTTTTGGGAGCTCTTATCGTATGCATGCGTATGCATGACTTTCTGAGGGTTAGGGTTCCATAGAGACGGGTAATATTTAATGCTTTAAAAAAAATCCTTATCAGGCTCTCCAATAAAATCAATAAATAGCTTTTAAAATCTAAATTCAAAATGATTTCTCCAAAACCCCAAAATCCGCTGAAAAAATACTAATATGTCAAAAACTACTAGAATGTAAAGAAACATGAATGGCAAGTTGTAAAATGAATGATTACTTACACTGAAAAACATGACCTCGTAGACTTGGGTTAACGGAGTAAAAGAGGTAAATTCCAGGCGCCAATGCTGTCCAGTGGAAAGGAATCCACTCAGTTCAACATACTTTTTAATTTCACCTAAGCGTTGGACGACATTTACAATATGCCACCGTTTTCCTGCTGTTGTTGAACGAAAGAGTGTCACATGTGGTTTATGGTCGGGATCTATAAAGACACGAATCCGTGAGAGTGTTATAGGCGTCTGGAGATCAAAAGTCAGCTGCCATGAGCCCTCCTCAGCCGCACGCTTCCAGCCTGTGTTTAGGTTGGAGTCAAGAACATAGCCAGAAACATATCGGGCACTTTCTGAGGCAAGCCAGACATCTGAAGTCACCCATGTAGGATCAGTCTCCAACCATCCACCTAGACAGTAACAGTCTGTTTTAAACATTGGGTAGCAGTATACTATATCATATTCAATGCCCGATGGTAGTTTAATGTCCATGTCTTGCAAAGCTACATTTGCCAAATTTTGAAAGGTCCATTATTGAACGCAGAATAATTATTGAATTTATCCATCAATCCTACAATTGACTTCCTGATCTACGTTAATCTTCAGTTTATTAGCACCTCTTGCGAATTATCAAACAAAGCTGTTAAACTTTCCTAAGAAGTTGTAGGATGCTAAGCTTAAGTTACATGGCTGATTTATTTGTATGCTCATTTCTATAGAAGAGTCGTCATAAATGTTTCCAAGTGCTCTCTCGGATATCATAGTATATCAAGCTCCACTAGATATATGCTCTAACCCATCCATACACATGGTTTCTCTCTATGAACTGGTAACTCATGGTAACTCTATTAACTGCTGATGTTTGATTTGACTTTTTGACAGTTTTTTTTATTCATTCAAGCATAGACAATGTATCCAGAGCGTTAAAAAGGGAGCTGTGGTTATTTATCCCAATTTTTAGCACCATATTTTCTTTTAGTCTAAAAACATGCTAGTCACGTTGACATGGGATATTTGTTAAAAAACATGCCATCCCGTTTTTTTACTAAAGGTACGCTGCATATTAACCCAGGAAGCGGTCGGCTGTGGTCGGTTGTGGTATTTAGGCAGACCCTTCCAGTGGTCCATTACATGAATGCTCAAAAGAAAATAAGAGCGATAGTCTTAAGGCGTCCAATGCAATTTCAGAGCAGCAAAAAACATGGCAGCAAAACCCTTAAATCAGCCAAGAATTTGGGTTTTTTATGCTATGGACCGAATTGCACTTATCTTATGGACAACGCTATTGATAAGAATTTCTAAAACAGCATTAGAGCGACATATCATTATTGTTTAAAATTATCGAAATGTGTCTAATGAACGTTAACAGTGTTTTGTAGGCATTACACAGATAAAAACATTATTGGGATAAAAGAATGCTTTGCTTTAAAAAAATGCTTCCTACAAATGGTGAAGGTTGACTTCTTGCTTACCTGTTAGAGTAAATACACCTGGCAGAAACGGGCACAGACTCCACATCAACACCAGTGTTGTTTTGGCGGATGGTATTCCCATTCTGGTGTAGAACTTGTCAAAGCTACTCAGCACTAATATAAACTACATCTGACCAGTATTGTTGCGAAAGCTATGGCGTGAGCAGTCGGATTTCCTTGTAAACCAGCAAATTAAGTATTGCATATGGTGTCCAGTCAGCAGCCAGCACAGTTGATTAAAGGTACGGTAATTAAGAAAAAAACTCATTTTGTGAAAAGTCAATAAGATCACTCGCATACCATATACATGAAATATTAAACTATATTACATAATATTCATACATTCCCCACGATATAAGTTGATAGGAATCTGGGAAAATTCCATTAACTCTATCTGACGGAGCAAATATTAGAGGCATTTGGATCAAGAAAAGTTTTTCGTGTGAAATTGATAAGATAGAAAAGAAAGTACCATCGCAAAATAGCTCAAGACATTTTGTTGTATATAAGATATTAAGGGAGCAGCCTTTTATCATCCAAGATTCTGTCATCAATTAATGTAAAACGTCTGCGTCAACACCATATAGGAGCACTTGATTTCGGCACTTTGCCTCATGGAAATGAAGAAGTTTGGATACAGAATCGGGCACGTCCACTTGTTTCAGTGACTGTTTGTTGTTGTTTTTTTGGCCAGACCAGCTTCAATAAGCATTGTCCTAAATGATAAAATACATGACAGAATGCTAGCAGAGGCACGCAAAAGCGCCCAATTGGAATATTTTAGTGCACTTAAATCCAACCCAGTAAATGCTCTAATTGTTATGTAACATCAGTATCTGTATAGCATTTATAACCGCCTTTCGGCGTAACACACCAGCTTCGCAGGCACGCGGCGCGGCGGCAGCTGGCTACATTACACCAATTGACTTGATACACCTAACCTATGAACATCTAACTCTAGACAGTGTATAAAGCTATCTAATGACAATGCCCCTACTGTGTTTGGTGACAGAGGAAAGCCTTAAAACAAATCAGTGTAGGGCCTTGGATTCCATGATACTCCAGTTTTGAGATGACCCTGCCATGGGGGACTTTGTCAAAAGCTTTAGTGAAATCGAGTATTGCTACAGCCTTCAGTGCGCCAGCTATGTCATGGACTGTTAGTATAGGCTGTGTTTCTGTGGATCGTTGGGCTCTTTCCCTTTTTAACTTTGTTATATTTGTTCCAGTCTTCGTCTTGGCCTGTTTTCTTAGCTTTGTTATAGAGGCGCTGATTCTTGCGACAGTGCCTCCTTGGGTTTCTGTTGAGCCAAGGCAAGTTGTATAGGCTTAATGTTACCTTACTAAATGCTTCATGTTACCTTACTGGGGATGTACATTACAGGATTCTAGCAGAGGCACGCAAAAGTGCCCAATTGGAATATATTAGTGCAATTGCATCCAGCAAAGTAAATGCTTTAATCGTTATGTAACACTAGTATCTGTATAGCCTTAAGTTTATAACAGCCTTTCGGCGTAACAAACCAGCTTCTCAGGCACGCGGCGCGGCGGCAGCGAGCTAAATTATACTGATCGACTCAATACACCTAACCAATGAACATTTAACTCTAGTAGACATTTTTAAAGATATCTAATGAAAATTACCCTACTGTACTTGGTGACAGCGAGTTCCACTCTGCGATAGTTTTAGGAAAGAATGAAATCCTTGGTTGATAACTCTGATAATTGAAGGTATGGCTATTTCTTGTTCTCTTCAGGGCTGGTATAAGGTACTTAGCATTTACGACGTCCATTACTTTATTAGTCATTCTGTATCATCATGCATAGTCTGGATATTTTTCTTCTGTCTTCCAGTGACACCTAGCGTAGGTTACTCTTTATTTCCGTGACACTAACGCCTCTTTCATAGTTGTTCATACAGAATCTTGCAGTTTGATTCTGTACCCTTACAGTTTATCTTTGTCTTTCTTTGTATATGGATACCACAATGTCGCGGCATATTCTAGGTTTGGTCTTATAAGTGACGTGTATGCAAGTGATTTTACTATAGTTGGGAATGACCACAGATGACGTTCGATCGCTCCCAATGTCTGTTTAGCCGTAGTTGTGATATTACTAAGTAAACATGTGCTCCCCACTTCAGACCACTTGTCAATGTGAAACCCAGATGCGGATGGGTTTTTGTGGTTGTTAAAGCCTGACCGCAAAACAGGTAGCTAGTTGCATGTGTTATTTGTTTGTTTGTTTGTTATGTGCATAATGTAGCAATTTTCGGGATTAACCCTACCTAGACCGGGCTTTTTTTGACATGGGGGACCGGGGGGGGGGGCTCTTTTGACCCCCCTAAGAACTCGCGAACGGTATGTCGTATGACCACCAAATTTTTAGAGAATGGTGTACTAGTGCACATTTATCATATCTACAATTTCTATGTCGTTATGACGTAATATGACGTCATTATGACGTCATTAATGTGATTTTATTGGCCGAAACCGTCTAAATAGGTTTTTCCCTGAAAACTAAATGGTATTAAACATAACTGTACCAAAAGTGTTTATGACAGAATATTATGGTGTACTTAGTCTTATGTTGCCCATAGCAACACCGGTGACGTCATAAAATGACGTCATGCATATTTAAGATATCCGCCATCTTGGATCATCAATCTTGAATTTTCAAAAATAGTTTTTTTTATGATAAAGCCTAAAATACATTGTAAACATACTGAAGACCTTCATTTAAACCTTTTTTTGGAAAAAGAAATGAAAGTATTGATGAAAATTTAATGAAAATAACCTGTATATACCTGTTCTAATGATATGGTCCGCCATCTTGGATTTTGGCCAATGACGTCATCAAATTAGCATAAATTATGCATATTTAATGATAAAATTTACATAAAATTATATGGGATGTTATTAATATTAGAAACCATGAGAAACTTGACATAAAACCCATAAAATTCTATTGTTGAATCAAAAAGTACTAAATTTAGCAAAAAATGCCTGTCAGAAACCCGTTGCCATGGCAACAGAAAAAAATATTATCTTATTCCAATGATAGAGAATTGTTGCCAACAATATTCTAGGAAAAGTCACGAAGTTTGGCCGTTCTACGGCTAACCGTTCAGACGCTAGGTGACATCAAAGTTGCCGCGGGCACTTTTAGCCCCCCCCCGGTCTAGGTAGGGTTAAACTGGACGAGCCATTTGCTTTGCCATTATTCCAGAGTGTTCAGGTCTTTTTGCAGAAGTTGGGAGTCGGTCTGTGTAGACAGCTATACATACAACAGACAGTCGTCGGCAAATAACCTCAAATTTGAGTCAAGCTAATCTGGTAGGTCCTTAATATACAAGAGGAAGAGCGATGGTCCCAGGACGGTTCCTTGAGGGATTCCAGACGCTACTTTAACTGAAGCAGACGCCTTTCCCTTAACCACTACTGTTTGCTCTCTGTTGGCCAGGAAAGCCTTTAACTATTTCAAAGTAGGGCCTTGGACTTCATAATATTCCAGTTTTGAGATGACCCTACTATGGGGGACTTTGTCAAAAGCTTTAGTGAAATCGAGTTTTACTCAGTCTACCTGCCGTTTACTATTCATTGCGCCAGCTGTGTCATGGACTGTTGATATAAGCTGTGTTTCTGTGGATCGTTGGACTCTTTCTCTTTTTAACTCTGTTGTATTTGTTCCAGTCTTCGTCTTGGCCTGTTTTCTTAGCTTTGTTATAGAGGCGATGTTTTCTTAGCTTTGTTATAGAGGCGATGCTTCTTACGACAGTACTTCCTTAGCTTTCTGTTGAGCCAAGGTAAGTTGTATCTGCCTGCTGTAACCTTACTAGGCATGTGTTTAATTTTGTCTTTGAAGTCTGACCCTTCTGTGTATTTAACATATCCTGAGTTCTTTTGTCAAAGTTATTTGTATAGTGATTTAGGTCTCTCTTGATGGCTGGTTCATCGACTTTTGTGCGAATGTACACTTTTCTCTAAGGTTTTCTGTTTTGTTTCGGTATCAGGTTAACGTCCGCTAGAACCATGTCTTGATCACTTATTCCAGGAACTACTGTAGTCTTCTTAATTATGTTGGGGTTATTAAGTAAGACCTCGTCCAATAGATTACTATTTGTAGTTGGTTCCTGGACAGTTTTGGAATAACCTCTGATTATCCTTTAGGTGTAGTAGTTCCTCTGCTTGGCCTGTGTTATAGTAACATAATACCGTCACGGATGCCACGTAGCTGCCAAATGGTGTTAAGGGTAGTGGGGATATATTGCACAGCCGAATCACAAGACGTGGCTCATGTAATTCTTATTTTCACCATGGGGAATCATTGTCTAATATTGCATTACAACATAGGTACACACGTGTAAACAACAAATATTTTGCACCCCGCTCCAAATCTTGATGTTTACGTTTCTCCAAAAAATAGTTAGATACTTCTAGTGGCTAATACCTATTCTAAATAATGAAATTCGTGCACTCAAACCGCCTAGTTTACGAACGCAGCTGTGGACGGATATCAAATTCTCCTTTTATTGTAATTAAAAATGAAACTCATATTAGGAACAGTCAATAAAATTAGTCGCATGCCGCATGCATAATTGAGCAGGTTTTTTTTTTCAAGAACCTCTTCAAATCCAAATAGCCTGCCGTCATCCTATGGAGTCTTCGATCAAGCTTCATAGAGTCCCAGATATTAAAATACAGGACACAGTTCTAGTAGAGGTACGCATAATTTTATTACATAAAGATGAATGTCATGAATTAACATCCAAGTATAACTGAATTTTCCCTTGTACTTTATTTTCGTACAAGATTGACTTGACATGTTAAAAAGGGTCAAAATACTACAGAAAATATACGTACAACTAAAAGTTTTCAGGACAATATCAATCATACCAAGAAAGAGAATGGTTACCTACTATACTTATCTTTAAGTTTCTTCCTTTATATGGTTATATTTTCTTTAAAATTTTACGTTGTTTTGTTTGTAGTTCGATTCCTTTTTTTACGTCAAGTTTGTTTGCTGGAATATGGAAAATCTTGTACGTCTTTGGTAGAGTTGTATGTTTAACCTTATACAGTATTTTTTTACATATGTGAATGGGCAATAGTAATGGAGTTGGAAAATTAAACCTTAAAAAGAATCCAAAATTAAATATTTCAAACAATTGAATCCTAGATTTTACTCACTTTACACATTTATCTGCTAAATTTGCAGATAAGGAAGTCTACATCTATATATTTATGCACATTAATGTTATTACGCAAAGTTCAAATTTTTAAGATGAAAAAAACTCAAACAATGTAATCTCTATTTAAGACTATACATGTGTTTATTAATCCATGCTATGCATTAATCTTTGGAATACACAACAGTCAAAAATATGTTGTCAGAAAGGCTTGTAATACGGCTAAATAAGGTTTCCAATAGCTACCCACGAACATCACATATAGATGTGCTATTATATTTCTTTCCACAGATCTGGTTATAACTTGATCTTGTAATGAAACAAACAAAATTCGCATGTTATCAGACAATATGTTTTGTGACTCGCCCGAGCATGTATCTATGAGCATCATACGCGAGAATTGTTCACAACTAAACCCATCTAAACAGCCACCTCAACTATTACACCACAAACTGGTAATGCGTGACTCAGTATGTATATTGAAATTTGAAATATTGAAATGTATATACATCTGCCTTACATGTTCTTTCCACATGATCAAATGTTATTATACTAGTTTCCTCAGCTCAGTCAATCTACATGTATCTTAAACTCTCGCTAGGAGTATAGAAGTAACTTCCCTTAAAATTAGACTATCAATTTTTTTACTTTATACAATCTAATTTGTGGAGCCAAAATTATCTTATAAGAAACAGTATGCGTTGCTTATTCTAGGCTTGAATTGAAAGAATTTCTAACATAATTTATCTGTCGAGAGACGACGCTAAAAAGCACCACAGCGTCCCTTCGAATCAAATTCTTATTAGGAATCACATCTGCATTTTTCAAATATGTGATCCTGGTATGTTTACATGCATTCCTACCACCAAATGGGAGGAATTAATTACTGTCTACAGCTGGGTCGTTAAAAAGTCGTCCCAGTATTTTACAATTAGTACATATCCGTAATGTTATATAATCTTTTTTTGCAGGTAACCATGTTTACAAAGAAACAGAAGCATCGTTGAGATATGACATCGCTATGACTATGATTTTTTTGCAATTTTCTTTAATTTTGCATGTATGGTGTGATGTCATACTTGACAGTTATCCCTTAAACGGAAAGTTAAAGCACCATACGCATCTTGTAATGTATTTGTTAAAAATGAAATTCAGTATAACAGTTAAAAAGAAAATCAGTCACTATGTGTTTGTCCTTCGCCTTCAGGAATGCTCACCAAATGTTTGTCTTTTGCCTTATTTTCCTCAACTTTGGCAAAGGTTGTCATGGGTATATCTTCTGTAGCTGCACTACTTCCAGTAGCTGCTATGCCTGTTGTGCACGGGGCAGTCTGCTGACTGCCGGCAGTTGGTCCATTGCCTTGACTAGGTTCTCCTAGACCAAGGCGTGCCCTGATCACTGAGGCCCAACTCTGTATCACGTCTCCTGTCATCGTCATAAGTAGGGCCAGTAGAAAGCCTTGAGAAGCATTAAGTACAATAAAGATGTACTCAAGAACCCTGCTGCCTACAAAAGGTACGATAAAACCGAGAATCCAAGTAGACCCCATCAGAAAGGAAATGCGGAAATAAACCCAGGCCTTACTGCTCCAAGAGCGAGACAAAGCGGCGTCGGCAATCTTAAATGATTTCCGTATGGCCAGCAAAGCCAAAGTGATCAACACGACATTGATCAGAATGGCAGAGAAAACTGGAACTCCAAAGGCAACCAAACTGCCAGTCGGGTTGCCAATCCAACAGTGAACTCCGTACTCCACCCTGACTGAGCTGCAGGGACAGAACTCTACAAACACCGTCACCGCCACTACAAGCAACGGCATCAGCCAGGTATACAACACGTAGCTGCGCAGTTTGGGTCTTTCTGAACCATCACGAAATGTGAAGAAGAGATCCAAAGCCAGCGCGTTCATAGACGTAAAGGCAGTCAGCAGAAAGTAGTGCAGGATTATCCCATACACCACACAGACTACCCCGGGTGGAGGGAGCACACGTGCTACAAAAAGGGATTCCCCGACTGCCATACAAGCCAACATTTGCACCTTCAGCTTTGCCGGTACTTTCTTCCACTGGCCAGATTTGATAGTGTAGCCTATGAAAGCAAAGGCCGCTATGACAGACACAATCACAAGACCCAAGGTTAACCAACCTTGAGTTGCTTCCCAATCGTTTGTCGTTTGATCATTGTTTGTGGCATTCAGGAAATACTGCAGTATACACTCTCCGCAAACAAACGCTGTTGTGTTCAGAATGGATACCTGTTCAGCTGGGCATGTCACGTTAGAACTCAACAGGTGTACACTACCATTGGAAAGAACATCAAACTCTTCCTCGGTGAAAGTCAGTGTTGGTCTGCTGCATTTTCTAACGGTCTGTTCACCTGGGCAAGATACGTTGGGATTCAACATGTCTACGGTATCATTGGGAAGATTTTCGAATTCTTCCGATGTAAAATTTAAGGTGGTGGTGTTGCAGCTTTGAAAAACGCTGCTTTTGTTTGATGAGACAGAACCTACACTTGTGGACGAGAAAAGCCGACATGTGTCAACAAAAGGATCGTATACACTATCTGATGGACACCGGTAAGGACTGTTCTCTTTAGCATTAAAGTTAAACAGATGGGTTAGTGAGATACAATCCGGAAAACATTGAGCACTGTTTGCTCCAGTGAAACACTCTAAATGTGTAGCGGCTGTGAGGGATAGTCCATCGCAAAGAGCACAGTGTATGTTTTTGAAAATATGCTCTAAAGACTTCAATGGAGAAGTGTAAGATTTGCATTGAACTGCATCACAGTATCCTTCAGACATGCTAACTTCGCTAGGAATACATGGCCTTGCGGGGTTTAGAAATTCAGGGTCTTCCAAGAATTCCAACACCAGAGATCCAGAACAAGGTAAGCTAAAATAATCGGTGTCTTTGAATAGCTGTGTAATTTTCAGTTCAGGTGTAGTAGAGTTGATCAACCCATAACACTCTAGTGCAGATTGCCAAACCACTGCGTCTGCCATAGAGACATTATTGCAAACCGCACAGAAAATATTTCTGTAAGAAACAGTCGTTGAACTATCTCGCAAGGGCAATCGGTATATCAGATCACTCGGGTTAAAGTGATCCGCCTCTTTTATACATTCTTCTCTGGTGACGTCATCAAACCAGTCGTCTGGACAGTCAGCAACCACCCAATAGGATGGCTTTGGAAAGAATCCCGACAGACACTTCCATTTTTCTTCACGTTGATTGGATGACACGCTTTGGCACTCCTTTCTGTTACGATAAGAAGAAACATGTTTATGAAAAATTTATTTAAATATATATCTCTTGTTTAGGATTTACATAGGGAATCCGTCATTTAAAAGAAAATGCTCGCTTACTTGAAGTCTTCACAACAGTCACCAAAAAAGGTGCAGTCCTCGTCACACTGGCACTGCAGGTCTTCTGTAAGCTGGTCGTCTGTAAGCTGCGATCCGCATTTTCCCTTACAGGAAATACCTTGTGCGCAACTTTCCTTGACTGTCGGATCTATCACACATTTGTAACATAATAAAAAAAGGGCTGCTTAGTAAGGGCACACTAGGGACTCTTCAAGACAAATGTCATACTATAAAATCAACTAATGAATAAGCAGACCTTAGTCTAGCTTTAACTACCTTGGTTTTCACAATGATGGAGGCCTGCCTAAGACACTGACCAAGACAAGTTTACTTTTCAAGAAGCTTTTGGGAGCTCCTATCGTATGCATGCGTATGCATGATTTGCTGAGGGTTAGAGTTCCATAGAGGCTCGCAATATTCGATGCTTATCTAAAAAAACACCCTCATCATGCTCTCCAATAAAATCAATAAATAGCTTTTAATTTTTAATCTATATTCAAAATATTTCCTCCAAAAACCTAAAAGCTGCTAAAAATATAATATGCTTTGAATTTTTGAATGTTAAAATAATTTAAATGAATTATTCTAATTTTAAACAATTAAAACCCAGAAATGCTAAGGTCATATAATGCAAATATACAGAACCAACCAAATTCCTTACCCACGCACGGCATTACATCACAGTAACTCCATCTCCATACAGCGTCCGTGGTGTAGCACCAGGGCCGGTCCTTGTTGTCATTGTCAGGGTTACGGCAGAAGTTTTCCTCCAGCCCTGCATCAGGATGAGCCTGCGGTGTGTGGGGATGGGGGTGGGGAGACTGGGAGTCCCATCTCTGACACAGCCGGTCTCCTGCCCTGTACACACAATAACACAGTCATGACATGATCCTAACATGAGTTACGATGAGCCTGCGGTGTGTGGGGATGTCTGTGGGGAGACTGTGAGTCACAGCTCTGGCACAGCGGGTCTCCTGCCCCGTACAAATGGATAGAGCACAAAGTTTCACATTGTTTAAAGTTCAAACCTTTCAACACAACAGAAAACAACACAACACAACACAAGTATACTCTAGATAAAACAAGAGCTCGATTATTTCATACCTTCGTCATGTATGAGTTTGGGTTATCAGAAATGTGCCACTGTATATAGTTTGACTTTTGTTTTGCTGGTATGTTAACCAAAGCACGTGAGTGGTTACATACAGTACAAGCATCTGGTCACCTAGGGACCAGAATAGCAGTGCCGACAAAATTGGATCTTCACGGTGCCATCTATACTTACAAACATCTGTCTCACACCCCAAGGGGATTTAAATATCTGGGTTGTGAATATATTCGCTACCAGAAGTACCTTCACCTAGCATACATTCCTAGCTACATGTCAATCCTAAAGTGCCCCTGCAATATCTTAGTTTGGCCGAATAAGCTTATAGAGTTTAAATTAAGGTATACTACTACTACTACTACTACTACCTTAAGTTCTGACAAAAGTAATTATGTAAGAAATTGTAGTACCCATCGAGAACCCCTTGGGGGTTAGCCTAATTCTAAAGGATTCTGGGAACTGGAGCCAGATTTCAGTGCAGAATTCTGAAGAATTGGGTTAATCCCCGAGCGGTCCTCGATGGCTTCTACGTATGCATATTTCTTATATTTTTTTTACTTAATAAAGTTTAAAACTGGAAGTCCGGAACTAAACAGGAGTCTGTTTACGGCGTTGAATGTGCCTAAAGTCCATTATCCTATAATTACCTATTATGCCTATCTCTTAACCGAATTAATTTCTAGGGATTTTATTAAATTTCTTAAGTAGACAGAAATCAAGCAATTTAATAAAAGATACATATATTCCTGGTATAACCAGCAATGGGCACTAACATCATGTAATGACAAATATGTTTCACGTTACTTCTAAATATCATTTCGTACCTATTTATTCGCCCCGCGTAGCTCCTCCCCCTGTCACTTTCGTAGAAGCACCGTGTCGGCAAGGCTAAAAATGAAAAGCAAATAAAAGTTGGAATGCCGTGTATACCGAAGGATCTAAAACTTGTAAATATTTGCATATGTCATTTTAACAGTTCCTTGAAATTTTCTTAAATTTGATTAGATTTAAAATTTAATTAATTGACATTTTCTATACGAAATTTAGGCTATAAAATCATATTTATGAAACGAACAATGTTAATTTTGAGGCCAACGTGCTCAGGGTGTGACTCTCCTTGTCACTATAATTACCAAGGCGGGTAACTGAAATAGCTCTCGGCTAGTCAGGCAGTCCTAGCTCTATCATTTTATACAGTCCAATAAATTAAGTCAAGTAAGCATATAGTCATACCGCCGCAGGCGAAGACATCGTCGCAGTACATCCACCTGATTGTTGGGTTGTTGGTGTAGCACCACGGCCGGTCCTTCCCGTCAGGGTTCCGGCAGTAGTTCCGCTCCAGACCTGCTGACGGGTAGGCCTCGGGAGTGTGGTTATGGGTGTGAGGGTACTGAGATGTCCAGGACTGACAGGTGGATACCTGCCTTTGTGCTACACGCAGTGTCTCTACTTTGCCTCTGTAACTTGACCCTTTGTCCGAAGTGTAGTAACAGACTGTGGATATAGAAACCCATGACATACATAGCCGAACACCTCCGAACTCACCCCAACCATGCACATGTCAACGAAGTCGGTTACTGTTTGGCTGGACCAAGAGAATTATAAAACATTCGGGTGCGGACGGCAGGTTCGGCCATGGTTAGTTGGTTGTTAGTTGGTTTTCGCCGCGGGAGTAGCTCAGCAGTGGTCGAGGTGTGGTTGACAGTAAAAATGTGACTAAAATTTGACTCAATTTCAATTCGATTAGTATTGGAGGGTAGGTGTGGCCTGAATCTGGTCCGACTGTATTCGAACGACAGATTTTCGAACGTCAGGTGTTCAAACGTCACGTGTTTGAACGTCAGGTGTTCGACTGAAGGTTCTAAGTACTTGACACAGGCTTTAGTTAACGCTGTTAGTCTGCTGCACATAAAGAGGCCGTTTCTATTCCCTAAATTAATGTAACCGCAACATAGCGATTTGGAAGTAAAGGTTCAAAACATTTACTGCACACTAGACGTAGCAAAGCGGGCTGTGTGACTAGTTTCCCTATACCTTTACAAAATGACTGTTGACTTTCAGTATTAAAAAGAGACATTCCTGAAGCATAGTTGTTGGTACACAACAATTAATTTTATCATGAATTTAAGAGTTTAAAAAGTTTATAGTGACATAGTTATTATTCACGACACCTGCTGTCAGTGAATATTTTTCAAGTACAATTTTTTTTGCAGTTTTTGAAACTAAAATTGATGAAGACATGTTAAGACATAAGAGAAATGTAAAAACTAGAAAGATGGTCTATTACCCACGTCTAATAAATGAGATGTTTGTGCCATACGGATCTCCACTTTAATAGATGTTTATTAAGTTTGAAAGTTAAAACTTTTGATCCAACACCATAAACTTGATAGATGATTAAATGATTAAGTTCTCCTAGAAATTGTTATCAATGTTATATACTATCTTGTTAACGTATCTTACCACCGCTGTGCGACATCCAGGCAGTCCCTCATTAGCTAGTGTTTTAGCTATTGCCCCAGGTCTCATACCCTGCTTACGG